CCAGCCCTCCCCTGCAGGCAGCTCCTCCCTGCTCATCCCCTCCCACTCAAACCCCTTGATCTGCTTGCCAAAGTGCTGCAGGAGGGTCTGGCTGCCCACAGGGCACGCAGGGTGGCATGTAGGGCATGCAGGATGGCATGCAGGGCTGCCCACAGGGCTGAAGCTCAGCTCCAGGTGCCACAGGGCCAGGTGGCTCTGGGTGTGCTCTCCCCTTGCTTTGTTCCAAATGCCCACTGCAGATTTTCTGTTCACCCATCCCAGCAGCATGCGCTGGCCCCAAACCTTGGGAAAGCCAATGCCATGAGGTACAGAGAAGAGGAATCCCTTTTACCAAGAGCCTTTGCTGAAAGTGATGTGGATGCACACAAGTGACCAACCCATGCCAGGCACGGCTCCTGCTGCTGGTCTGCAGCCAGGCTCACCCACAGCTCACTCTGCCTCCACATTTGCTGCCACCTTCCACAACCTTCCTCACCCCAAGGCCAGCACCACCTCCACTTCTCCCTGAATCACGAGTGGCACCAAGCCAGGAGCAGTGTGGAGGTGGTCTGCTTGCTCAGGATCACAGAGAGCAGAGAAATGGGATGACTTGCACAGTTCTACACTTTGCAAGCTTTGTGCCATGGGAGGTAGACCATGGGGTCCATAAGAGGTGGCAGGTGAATGCTGACCCACCTGCACAGGATCTGTCCTCAGAGAGAGAAAGTTTCAAGTGTGGTGACATTCAGGACAGTGCTGGGTGTGACAGCCAGCTCTGCTCCTGGGTTCTGTCACTGCTTATGCTGCAGGACAAGGCCTTGCTCTGGAAAAGAGAAAGTGGGATTTGACTCTTTCCACTGTGGATGCCCTGCAGTACCTGGACAATGCAGAGGCCTTGCCTTGGGGGCTGACACACAAACCTCAGGAATGCTCTGCCCCAAACCCAGAGCATTGGCCACCCCACGCAAGTTCCCTCTCCCCTGGGCCATCCCACTGCTCCTGGGAAGCCTCAGCAGGCACCACGAGCAGCCAAGTGAGCATGGCCTCCTCCTGCAGGCTCTTGAGCAACCCCAGTGGGTGGACACACACCCAGCTGAGCACAGCTCCAGCAGGGCAGTCCCACACCCCAGGCCCGGGTCACCAAACACATTCTTGCTGTGGGTGGCAGGTTCCCATGCTCCTCCCCGGGAGAAGCTCATCTTGCTCAACCCCTCTCAGCTCTGGTTTCCCCAGTGCTGAACCCGGAACCAGATTTCACTCCTCACCAAACGTGCCAGCCCTTTTTGCCACACAGCTCTGTCCCAGGGCCGGGCAGAGCTGGTCCATACCCCACCACTCCACATCCTGTCAGAGGGGCTGGCCCAGGGCTAATGGGGAGGACAAGGCCTTTGCTGCAACTGCCATTGTCCCTAATCCCTGCTTTTTACCAGATCAGCCTGTGAGATGCCTCACACCTGAAGGACAGGGATTTTAAGGCTTCCAGTGCCTTCTCAGCACAGCCTTTACTTCCTTATGACGCATCAGAGCTTTTGCAATCCAGGTTAGCACCAATCTGCCCTATTTCAACTTCAAAGCACTTCACAAACATTAACCAATTAATCCTCTCACTGCCCTCCAAAGGAGGTGAGCATCTTGATTTTTATCTGTTTCCCCATCAATGAGAAGGAGAGAGTTAAGAGCCTCTCCCAAGGCTGTCTGCACTTGACTCCCAGCCCCAGGCTGGGCCCATCAGAGGGATGGACAGGTGCACCTCAGACACAGGAAAAGCTGCAGAAATCACAGCACCTAAATCAAGCAACTTTGGTTTTCTCCATGCCCCCCATGATTCAGCTTTTGGAGCATTTTCTGTTCACCATGAGTGAATGACATGGAAGAAAAATTGTCAGAGACAGGCAAGACAGAGGAGGCCACTGACACAGCAACCAGGGCCAGCTGAGAGCCAGGGACACACACACTAAGTGTTTTTAATAAGCCATGACGAGTCCTACATCTTGCAATAAGAGACAGAGCTCAGCATGGACGGTTCCAGAGTGAGGGGACAAGCTTTGATGTGACCACAGGTAGACAGACAGCCAAAACACAGCATGAGCTCCTGTCAGTGCTTCCCTTCTGCTGAAAACTGGGGCAGAACATCCCTGCTCATTCTGCACTTTAAATGGCCCTTATTTCCTCCAGTTCAGCTTGCATTTCCCTAAAGCTTGGTTTAGGGAGTCCTACAAACCTCTGAGCACAGACAGAGGTGGAAAGGGAGCTGGCCTTTAGCTGGGACACTGCAGGAAGCCAGCAGGTGTCAACCAGCGTGGTGGCAGCTCGCTCAGGGTGGGACATGTGTCACTGGCAGTGATGCTCCCCCTCAGCATCCTCTGCATCAGTCAGGACTCACCCAAACACTGCCAACAAAGGGCACAGCACCCACATTCACCAGGTCCATCCTGTACCTCTGAGGTGCAACCAGTAAAAAAAAAAAAAAAAAAAATTAGTGTTTTATCACCTGATATGACTATTTATTTGTTGAAGGCATGAGCCCATGAGCACTCCTCCCTCCCCCAGCATCCAGGGAAGGAAACATCCTGATCCCAACAGCCCTGAGACGGAAGCTGTGCAGAGGGAGAACAGGGTACACACATGGGTTGAACACCAGAGCCACCATCAGTGGTGGCTGCATTTATTAAACCTTCTCAAGAGTGTCACTGCTGGCTGGGGAGAAGGGACCTGAGCTGCAGGAGAGCTCCTGTGACACCGTGGGACGGGCCAGGCAGGGCTGGGGTGCTGCTCCCTGCTCCTTTCACTGCAGCAGCAATTTCTGTCCCCAGGGTTCCTCGGAGCATGTGAGTGAAAGCCTCTCTGCTTTTGCAACACCACTGACCCAGGGTGGGACTCCTGCCCCAGTGGCAGGGCAAAGCCACAATTGCAGGGCTCACAGGGAAGCCCTGGCTCATTTTTCTCATCATTTCCAATGGCTGGGGCTCACACCAAAGGCTGACAATTACTCATTACCACTCACCCCGAGGTTACACAGTGCTCACTAAACCCTGTGAAGATACAGGAATCCCAAAGCCCTTTGGATGGAGAGGGGCAACCTTTAAACAAAGCTGTGCAACGCCAGATCAATACTGGAAAGAGCTGAAATCAGCCCAGCATCTCCTGAAGTGGCAGGAGAATTTCAGGCAGATGAAATGCAATTCTCTAACTGCAGTTATTAGAGGCAGCGGGGGTAGAAGCCTTGCTGGATCTGGAATAGAAGCACCATCCCGAGGGAAGGCTTTTCTTAGCATCCAGAACCACTACATGTACTGTTTTAAACAGGTATTCAGAACATGCCTCGAATTAATTGCTAAGCACAGACCTCAAGCCGCAGCAGCACCTTAGAAAGGGAGCTCTGCCCATCTCCACAGAGAGTGCCACACCAGCACGGGCCCGGGGAGGGGAGGCAGAGCTGTGCCCCAGGGAGCAGGGACAGCGTCACAGCACACAGTGCCACCTGCTGTCACCTGTCCCCGTCCCATCCCTCCCTCCGGGGGCCCCAGGCAAGCCGCACCCCAAAAGCGTTCTGTTCTCGTATATTCCACATTATTATTATCTATCTATTATATTCTTGTCTGCCCATGAGGCTCTTGCCCTTCCCCAGTGGCTGTATGGGACAGACCCTGAGCTCTGCTGGATGAGCCACTGCTTGTCCACAGCCTGCAACACACCATGGGATCTGACTCCACATGCTGATAGTGTTCACCAAGGAAAGAAGGAAAAGGCAGACACCAGCAATGAAATATGACAAGAAACAATTTCTGAGGGTGCTTTGGCACAAGAAATGATTTCTGAGTGTGCCTTGTCTTCCTCCTCAACTGAAAACCCTGGATTTTGTATCTTTCTTGAGCATTGACTTCACCTCTTCCACTCTGAACCTCTCACCACCTTTTTTGTGGCATGAAGAGGAGCCCAAGCTGCTCAGGAACACTCTGGAACTGAGCAGGGAGACCTCCCCACCCTATTCAAACACCATGATCAGATGTGCATTTGGAGATTGCAATTACATGGCATGCCCACAAACCCAAAATACCTTAAATAACAGTCACGGGGCTTACCTTGACCCCACAAGGATCCAACACCCTCTCAAAACTCCCGTGAACTCCTCCAGGAAACTTTTGCAGCTTGGCTCAGACCAGAATCAAAATATGAAGCAAAGCCACCAAGCTCAGCAGGACTTTGGGCCCTCAGGGACTCGGCAGACTCTAAACATTCACCAGAAGAAGCTTTGTAACAGATGGATTCTCTAGCATATTCTCAAACTTATACTTGCTCTTCTTTTTGATAAAAGTCACTGGAAGATTGAATTCCCCTCCACAAGAAATCTACTTGCCAAGCCCCTCTCAAGCCCAAATTTGCTTTTCCATTAACTGGCCACCAAGATCTTGACCAACAGTACATTAACCTCCTTTATATTTGAGAAGTGAAAGGCCCAAGGATTCACTAGGACAGATACTTAAACCAGTTTACAAAACAAAGTTCAAGTTAGAGAGCAAATCCACACAAATAAGAGGGAATGGAACTCATTGCCTAAAACAGCCCTTCTCAAAAACCTTCCCTTAACCAGAACACAACAAATCCAAGCAAGAATGAAGTGTTTTTCAAGAGCCCACTCTGGCTCTCCTGCTGGGGGAGTTGTTGGTGAGCCCAGAAACCCCTGCAAGAGCCAGCACAACAGGGCTGCCCACAGAGCTGGCACCCAGCAAACTCCTCTCTGCCCAGGAGCAGATGCAGAGGCAGCTCTGACATGAAACTTGTGCCTCTGAGCCATCTGACAAAGGTCCAGCCTGGACAGGAACCATCTAGAAAGAAAATCAGCTTTGCTGATACCCCTCCCAAATAATACTCGGTTTTGAAACCAAATAAACTATCATAATCCACACACCAGATTTCAAATAAAGCTCTACAAAAGCAGGGCAATCCCTGAGAGTGTGCTTAGTCCCCTACTACCCCAAGCCTCATTATTACCTGAAAATCAACTTAATTTAAGAACTCACATTCAGCCTGCAAATCCCTCAAAGCCAATTATGCCAGGATCCACTTCTTCCTGATGCCCTTCCCAAAGCAATCCCACTGCTGACTCTCCAGACCCTCCAGCCTCCCCCTAAAAATGGAGGGGGCACATATTTATGGTACCAGGAGGAGTCACATGCCTTAGGTCAGCTGAGCTTGTTTCCCTGTCTCCTTGTTTTCAATTTCCATCCTTCAGTCACAGTGCTGAAGTGGCACAGGAGAACCAAATTCAATTAACAGGATTAATAGCAATTAAGCTGCTACTGGAGTCAGGGTTGTGCTCTTTAGTCCTGGGTAGAAACTAGATGTCACTGCAACAAGATAAGCAGCAGGTGATGCCAGAAGCTTTTTATTTCCAAGGAGAAAAATTGGTTGTCTTCCTGAAAGTCCTCTCCTCCTCCTCCTATGAGAATTTGGCCCAGATGGAGCCAATTCCTTTCCAGCCTGCTCCTGCTCAGCCCCATTCTCTGCACCTGGAAGAGCTCAGCTTCCCCTGAACACCAGTTGTAGGATCTGAGCAAACCACCCTGAAGTCGCTCTCTTTTCCCATGCCTGTATAAAAAAAAACACCAACCCAGTTTCCCAGCATGTGTGGGAAAGAGCAGAGCACTTGCATGTGATGCTCAAGTTCCCTTTCGTTTGCCTTCTCTGCAGGATTTGCCCCTGGCAGCCTGACCCTGCTGTGCCAGGAGGTTCTGCCAGAGGAGCAGTCCCAGTTATGGGACACTGGGATGTTCCCCCTCCCTGGCAGGGTCCTGGCCCTTCCCCAGCAGGGACCACCCTCGAGGGCAGGAAGGCTCTGTCACTCTGGCAATTTCCCCTCCGGTCTCACTCTGTTATCATAGCACCTCGCAGAAGTTATTTTAGCTACAGAGCAGCTTTCTGGCTTCCTGTGTAGTTCCTTAGTGTTCTTCCTAATTGAGGGTTTTAACATTAACAGCCTTTAGCAGCTGTTCTTCTTCCGGAGATGGGGCGGGGGGGAGCACCAAATCTTTTATTCAAATTTCTTCTCTAAGAAGTGGAAACGTGACCCACATCCTAAGAAGGTGTCCCTCAAGTGAAAAGCCTCCCCCACTCTGTCACAGGCTCCTTTCAGCCATTGATATGCCCAAGGGTTTGCTCTGCTGAAGGTTTTGAGGGTAAGGCTGATTAAATATTTTAAATAAATTAAATGCAGGTGTCCAAAAAATAACAATGCTGATCAGTTACTATTGATAGACTCAGTTGTGCCTGAACAGTGGGGTTTTGGTTTTATTCTGCTGACAGTAGTGCTGTGTTTTTATCTTTTCATGAGCTCCCCTTCCATGCTGCAGCCTCTCCTCTCAGGAATGGGGGTGGCTGAGTGCTTGTGACCAGCCCAGAGCCAGAGGCTTGTCCTCTTCTCACACGCAGCAACCAAGAGAGGCAACAAAGGCAAAGACAATTTGCTGAATTCACCACTCCATACATAATCCCCAAGCAGGAACCAGGGATCTTTGGCTGAATATTTCCTGCAGAAACAGGAAAGGGGATCTGCATGGCTTGGTGGGAGCTGGAGCTTCCCAGTGCCAGTGCTGGCCCATCAGTGCCCTCTCCCTGCTGTGAGTGAAGCACTGACAGAATGGGGTCCATGGAGGGGCACAGCAGCAGCAGCAGCTGGGGGCTCTTCCCAATAAGATGCTGCATGCAGCAGCCACCAAGCAAAATGGAAAATGGGATAGGAGGGGACTGTGGGACACACTGAGGCTCCTGCCTGCAGTTCCTCTCCAGCCAGGGTGGCATCTGCATGGCAAAAAGCTACCTGGGCCCTCAGAAGAGAGCTGGGATTTACTTCTGTCAGAGCCTTGAGTGTTTTGAAGTTCTGTGAGTGGCAAGAAGCAACAAGCTCCACCAGTGCCCCTGGGAAATTGCAACAGAGTCACCAGTCAAAAGCATTCAAAGATCACAAACCAGACCCAGATGATCGTGAATCACAGCTTAGAAACCGCAAATGGCTCTTAAGCCTCTTCCAAATAATGTCATTTACAACAGGCTCCTTTGGAGTGGTTTGGTTTCCCAGCCGCCCTCTGAACCCAGCAGGGAGAATGGCTAAAGCAGGAGCAGAGCTCCCTGTGCCCTCCTGGCACTGGGGGATGCCAGGGAGGTGTTGTGGCACCTGGCACAAGGTTAGCCCTGCTGGGGCTGTGGGGAGGGCTGGGGATGCCAGGGAGGTGTTGTGACACCTGGGGGATGCCAGGGAGGTGTTGTGGCACCTGGGGGATGCCAGGAAGAGGTTGTGACACCTGGGGGATGCCAGGGAGAGGTTGTGGCACCTGGCACAAGGCTGCCCCTGCTGCTGGGGCTGTGGGAGGGCTCTGTGGGACAGCCTGGTGTCAGTGAGGGTGGGCAAGGGGTGACCCTCACAGGCTGAGCCAATGTCAAGGACAGAAGGGAGTCTCTCACCTGGTTCCAGCTCCCTCCAAGGCTCCTCTGGCCTTACCTGCCCCACACTCACCTTTGGAAGTTTGAGGGATGTCAGACAACGTTTTTGTTTGAAAACGCTTCCTGTGTTTTTCATCAGGGAGTGTGCAGAGGTGGTGTTAAGTGCACTAATGTGGTAAAACACCACAGGCTCCTTGGCCCACGTGTGTGGGCAATCCTGAACTCCAGACAGAGCGAGACCTACATCCCAATAATGCACAGGCAGTAAAGCTCTTAGGTGTCATCAATGTTTTAACGCCCCATTTAAATATTAATCTAATGGAACAGCATAAAAGCAATATCCCTGAAAGCACAGGGTCATTTAGTCCATTGCCCTGTTGTCAGGAAGAATCCAGACCTCCTCCAAGTGTTTTACTTCCCCAGTCCAGTGCTGACTTTCTCAGTCTCATAACATTAGTTCTAGTAATAATAATACATCATCATAATGCAAAGCTGGCCATCATGATAATTATTTATGACTTATGCTTCTGGCCCTAACAATGTTTCTGTAGAGGTTTTAATTATCATTTATGCATCTTTGTTCCACGTCCATAAAAATCCCAGGGCTCTGTATGGCTGAAAGCTGAATTTATAGGATCCTGGGAATGGCAGAGCCTGGATGCAGTGAGAAAGCCCAGGGGCTTCCTAACCCCCAAAATGCCAGATCCAGTGAAAGGACATGAATGTCAGCAGGGCACAAAATGCAAAAATGAGTCCCAGCAGGTGAAACTGCAGCTCCTGGAGTAAAGGGGAGTTTTACAGGAGTGTTGGCTGCATTTGTGCCTGATCCATGATGGAGATGACTGGGAAGAGGTCTCTGGGTCTGAACCCAGCTGGTCAAGGGGGACAGCACACAGAGAGGAATTTGGGCTCTTGTGCCCCTCCCTTGCTCCACAGGGAGCTGCACTCGGGGCTGCCCAGCCCAGGAGTGCCTGAACACCCTCAGTGCAATCCTGGAGGGTCCCCAGGGAGAGCAGGACCTGCCACCAGCAGCCCTGTGGCTCATCCTGAGCAGAGCAGCACAGAGCACAGAGCTCAGGGATGGCTCAGCTGAACAGGCAGATGCAGCATCATCAGCTGCCTCCAGCACACCCCTCACCATCTGCTCCTGGCAAACACCTCAGTACCGCAAGAGAGGTGCCCCAAGTGCAGGCACTGCGAGGCTGCCTTGAGCTTGGAAGCAGGCTGCATTCCTTCCTCCAAAACACACGGAGGGAAAAATACAAGATGCAACATCCCCAAGTATTTCCTACAGAAACTACAGCGTGGCATGAGGACCTCGGCTGATTTTTTAACTGGAAAACCGAGTTTCTTGGTAAGTGGGGCTTGAAACTGTGAGCCAGGGGCTTCCAGAAGCTCAGAAAATAAGGAGGAATGAAGAAAAGAGGATCTTGGCAGGGATGAATAAGGATAAGAAGGAAAAGCATACTGCAGGCAGCAGCCATGGGCTTTGGCAGCCACTTCCTCTTGTAGAAGGAAAAACCCAATTTAAAAGCTGCTTGGGGAAAAGGAGGTTCAGCAGTGGATTTTTTCATCTCTGTTACCAGAGCCAAAGGACTGCTCCTCATATCCCTGATGGGCTGGAGACAGTGCCTTCACTGCAAGCACCTTGGTCTCACAACCAAGCTGGGAACACACAAGGCATCAAAAATAATGTCACATTTATTAGGGAAGCAATTCAAGTGCAAAACTCACCGAGGGATACAAGGAGCTGAATACATGCAGAAATCAAAGGGAACCCTTGATGGAAAAGAAATGTTTAGCCACTATGTTCAAAGGCTCCCTAAATCAAAGACAAACTCCTTTAATCAAGGCCATTGACCGAGGCTGAAAGCACAGAGAGCTGCCAACAATTCCCGCAGCGTCGCTTTTCACAGCAGGGCTGCAGGTGCTGATGCTCGTATAGCCTGAATCCTTCCCCCAGCATCCTGTATCTGTGTCCAGGGAGCAGCTCTTGGCACTCAAAACACAGCAGTTTTGTGGGGACAATAAACCTCAGCCATCCAAACATCCCATGCTCCTTTTTCAGCTACAGGAAAATTTCAGCCTCCAAGCTCGAGGAGTCATTAGGAGAAGGAGCAAGTGTTAATTGGGCTGTATCTAATCTGAGCCCGACCCAGGGGTCAATGGCTGTTAGTTAAGTTTATCAGCGGTGTTTGGCCATCATTTATCAGCTTTGGGGAGGCTGGGCTGGGACAGGTGTGCAGCGTGCTGACGCACAGAGGGCTCAGGGAATATTGATTTTCCCACCCGCCATTAACGAGCGTGCGTTTGTTGCGGTTAAACCGCACCAGGAGATGCTGCTGGGGAAAGAGCTGCCCAAGAATGAGGTGCACAGTTATGAATGGACTGGTGAAATATCATGGATCTCACGGTGCCTTGTGGCAGCACAGCTCTGAGAAAAAACCATCTCTGGAAATAGGCTCAGTGTTTCCCATCTCTGCTGAGCTTTATGTTCAGAATCAGAGTCCAGCAATGTCAACCCCAGCTCTGTCTCGTGTCTGCTGCTTGTTTTCCCTTTCCTCCCAAAATCTCTCTTCTATCAGTCTGTGGAAAAGCCCGCTGCTCATTTTAAAATCTCTCTATAGATCACAGGAAGAAGAAATGATGACAGAAATTAAAGCCTTATTTCATAATCTGCATTGGTTTTCTCTTCCTATCCT